AGAAAGAAAGAAAGAAAGAAAGAAAGAAAGAAAGAAAGAAAGAAAGAAAGAAAGAAAGAAAGAAAGAAAGAAAGAAAGAAAGAAAGAAAGAAAGAGAAGAGTTTGTGATTGTTTTCTGATTGAGGCCACGGCAATGCAACTTGGGTTTTCCCACCGAGTCGGGGCTGGGCAGCAGGAGGAGATGCAGTCTCACCTCCGCGGCGCTGCCCGTGCAGCGCGCACACGCACGCCCCGCGTGGGCGCAGCGGCTGTCACCCGCGGCGCGTAGCACAGCAATAGGTGCAATAAAACTACACGGGGTGAGGGAAAATTAAATTACAGGGAAAACGATAGCCTCTGAGTGGTTCAAACAAATGTCTGCGCCGTCCGTCTTCTCCAGGAGCCGGCGTACACTTCGCGGCAGGAGCGGGGAGCGGGCGGAGGACGCCCCTGTATTTGGCAGAGCTCCGCTGCGCGGAGGGGCAGCGCACCTTTGTGCTTCAGTGCCGAGGGCCGGGCCGGTTCCCTGCCCCTCTCCGACGGCAGGAAGGGGCGCCCAGCCCCACACTCCGCCTATCCCCGCCCCATCGGGGCGCCCCGGGCCGCGCTGGCGGCCGCGCAGCGCGCACGTGTGGCAGCCACAGGTGCCGCAGCCGCCCGCTGCTCCGTGCCGCCCGCTATAAGAGCGGCCCCGCCGCCGCCGCCCCGGCGAGACGGGCGAGGGCTGCGGGAGATGCAACAAGGCGCGGAGAGGCAAGGACCGGGGGCGGCGGGAGGAAAAGGAGGAGGAGGAGGAGGAGGAGGAGGAGGAGGAGGAGGAGGAGGAGGAAGGGGGGGAGACAGCTGATGTCTGTCAAAGCCGGAGCCGCCGCGCTCTCGCGAGAGCCCGCCCGGCGGTAGCCACGGGATGCGGGGCTCAGGTGCGGGCAGAGCGCAGCGCAGCGCGCCCGGCGCCGGGCAGCGGCAGGCAGAGAACTGAGTGAGGGAGGGAGTGAGGGAGACGGCGGGGGCCGGAGGGAGCCTTGCCGGCCGCTCGCCTACCCAGCCCAGCCTCGGCCACCGCGGCAGCGGCGGCGGCGGGGGCAGGGTCCGCTGCGGCACCGCCGCCACCACCGGCTCCGCCACCGCCACCCGCCGCTGTCAGCGGCTTCCCCCGGCGGGAGGAGAGAGCCCGGAGAGCACTTTTCCCCCGACTTTAGGAGTGTTTGTGGATTTACATGCCAAGCCTTCAAGATGATGTCCATGAACAGCAAACAGCCTCATTTTGCCATGCATCCCACCCTACCTGAGCACAAATACCCCTCTCTACACTCCAGCTCGGAAGCAATAAGAAGAGCATGTCTACCAACTCCACCGGTAAGGGACAGACAGCTGCAGCTCTCTTCTTTCTTTCTCTCCCTTACACGCACACACTTTTCTTTCTTTCTCTCTCTCTTTCTGTATACTGCATGTATGTGTGTGTGCATTAATAAAAAAACCGCTGCGAGGCACATTTTGACAAGCGGCGCTTAATGTTTTTTTCATGTCTTCCTCTGCAATCATCTGAGCGCCTGTGATCTTTTTTGAAAGCGGTGTTCACACGAGTCTCCGACTTCATCCACTTTCTGTATTAATTTTTATGACTCGGCCTCTGAAAAGGAATGCGTTTTATGTGCTCTTGTGTTTGACACAATTCCCCAGCTGAGAGTTACAGATCCATTTCTTCTCCTCCTTTCTCTTCTCCTTTCGTTCCATCCCCCTCCTTTTAATTTATTAATTTATTTGTTTCCTTCATTCCTTCCTTCTCTCCTTTTCCGATTCCCCCTTGCCTCCTTACCTTTCTGCTCTTTGCTTCTTTCCCTGTTTTGCTCCCTCTTTTCGCTTCTTCTCCCTCCCATCCCTCCATTATTCTACCCCATACCCCTCTTTCCCCTCACTTCCCCGGGCTGTCGCCTGCTATACCACGCTTCCCCCTACCTCTTGGTTCTTGCCCCCGATCCCATACTCCCTTACACGCTGGTCCTACTGCCGGCTCCCCGGCTGTCACCCTAACTTTGCCCTCCTCTCTTTCCCCTCCCTCGACTTCCCCCCTCCTTTTCCACGGCGCTCCCGCAACCCCACGCTGTCCCCTCCCGTCCCCTTCCCCCTCCGCACTTTGCCCCCTCTCTGCCCCCTTGCCCTCCTCTCCCCGCACCCCGCTCTGTTTTGTGTCTCCTGCAGCTGCAGAGCAATATCTTCGCCAGCCTCGATGAGACCCTGCTGGCGCGGGCCGAGGCTCTGGCCGCCGTCGACATCGCCGTCTCGCAGGGCAAGAGCCACCCGTTCAAGCCCGACGCCACGTACCACACCATGAACAGCGTGCCCTGCACCTCCACCTCCACCGTGCCCCTGGCGCACCACCACCACCACCACCACCACCATCACCAGGCGCTGGAGCCCGGCGACCTCCTGGACCACATCACCTCCCCTTCCCTTGCGCTCATGCCCGGCGGAGGCGGCGGCGGAGGCGGCGGCGGCGGCGGCCACGACGGGGCGGGCGGCGGCGGCGGCGGGGCCGGCGGCGGCGGGGGCGGCGGCGGCAGCGGCGGGGGCGGCGGCGGCCTCATCTCCACTTCGGCCCACCCGCACTCGCACATGCACGGCCTGGGCCACCTCTCGCACCCGGCCGCCATGAACATGCCGTCGGGGCTGCCGCACCCGGGGCTGGTGGCCGCGCACCACGGCGCCGCGGGGCAGGTGGCCTCGGCGGCGGCGGTGGTGGGGGCGGCCGGCCTGGCCTCCATCTGCGACTCGGACACGGACCCGCGAGAGCTGGAGGCCTTCGCCGAGCGCTTCAAGCAGCGCCGCATCAAGCTGGGGGTGACCCAGGCCGACGTGGGCTCGGCGCTGGCCAACCTGAAGATCCCGGGCGTGGGCTCCCTCAGCCAGAGCACCATCTGCCGCTTCGAGTCCCTCACCCTCTCCCACAACAACATGATCGCCCTCAAGCCCATCCTGCAGGCCTGGCTGGAGGAGGCCGAGGGCGCCCAGCGGGAAAAAATGAACAAGCCCGAGCTCTTCAACGGGGGCGAGAAGAAGCGCAAGCGGACTTCCATCGCCGCCCCGGAGAAGCGCTCGCTGGAGGCGTACTTCGCCGTCCAGCCCCGGCCCTCCTCCGAGAAGATCGCCGCCATCGCCGAGAAATTGGACCTCAAAAAGAACGTGGTGCGGGTTTGGTTTTGCAACCAGAGACAGAAGCAGAAACGGATGAAATTTTCCGCCACCTACTAGGGGGGCGGGAGGGGCGGCCCCGGCATCGGGGGCACCGGGGGGCCAGGCCGGGGCCGCGGGGGATGCCTACGCACCGCCACCGTCGCCCGAGACGCCGTGGGAGGCTCCTGGGGACCAAGGGACGATGTAGAAATTAAACGCGAACTACTCGGGGAGAGGGGGGACGTGCGTGTGGGGGGGTGCGCTATCAATTATTAAAACAAAAAAGACACCGGGACACCAATGAGAAGAAGGAGGAGAGAGGAGGTAAAAACGCTCTAGAAGCCCAGGGGGGTCACTTCTGCGGCCCTTTCCCCTCTCTGCCCCCCAACCCCCCGACAGAAAGCGGGAGAAAGAGCAACTTAAAGCGTAAACACACACAGACACACACCAATAAATACCGTGACAGCAACAGCCACAAACCGAGAAACCTAAGTCACAACTTTCCGAAGGAAAAAAAAAACTGACCAACAAACCCGGAAGGCGAAACTGTTGGTGATGATGCTACGTTTGGTTTGGGTCTCTTTTCATTACTTTATGCTTTTCTTTCTTTTCCCTGGCTTAGTAATGAATGAGGACAGCGGTGGTTTGGTGCGGGGGAACTTCTTCTTTAGTTGGCTTGGGTTTGGGTTCTTGTTTGTTTGTTTTGATCTTTATTTTTCTTTGGTTTTTTTTTTTTTTCCTGTTGTTTTTTATTTTCCTTCGAACGCGGTTTTGCGCGGGGCTTTGGCGATGAGTCTTGTCTGTGCCGGGGGAACGGTGAGAGCGGGGCAAGGGACGGGACCGGGGGAGCGGCCCCCCGAGGCTAGGGAGCAGTCCCTTTCCTCTCCGTTGTTGCCTCAATAATCCTAACTAGCTCAAGGAAAACAAGGGGGAAAAAAGTTACTCCACAACCCTTTTGTCTCTCCTTCCTCGCTTGCGTGGTTTGCGTTTCCAGCTGTGTCCAAAGACAGGTCCCTCTCTCTGCAGAGCTGCATCTGGCGGCAGATGCCAAACCTGCCAGAGCGGGGATGCTCTCCAAAAGATTATGTTCAGACTCATTAAGGCTCATGGTTAACTATGTTCTTTCTCCTCCCTCCCTCCCCGCTGCTCCCAATCGTATGGCCCCCGGCATCCCCACCAAATCTGCTGGATTTAGGTTAAGGTCCTCCCTTGGTTTCCTCCAAGGGCTGGAGGTTATTGCACCCGGTAGGCAAAAGAAATCACCGGTGATAGGTTTGAAATGACATTTGTTTCTGAGTGATGTGCATGCTGGGAACAAACACACGACAAAAAAGAAACCACTTGGGCTTAAAAGTCGTTTATTGTATATCATAAACGTTATGTGGAGGAAGGCTTTTGGAAGGGGTGTGTGGGGTTCAATTTGCACTATCACAGTCTCCTGGATTGGAAGCGATTATGTTATTCTGTAATAACGATGCTGGTATTGCTAATAATCGTCAAGGTGTATTACATGTTTCACGGATTGGAAACAAACAAAATTATCAGGGTTTGTTAGGTAAAAAAGAGAATGGCGTGCAGATGCCATCTCTGACTCTGTCTCTTGCCGAGAGACTGCTGAGGCTTTCGAATAAAGCAAGAATTTCTGAAAAGAAAATACCATTCCGTTTAAATCAAAACAATCAATAGACTGAAATTATGCATGACATGACCTGAAAAATAATTTTAAAAAAGAAAAAAATAAAAGGAAAGGAAAAGAAAAGAAGGGGGGAAAAGCATAGAAAGATCTGTGATAAAGTCTCGATATTATTTATTTATCTATTTATTTATCTATTTATTTTATTAATATTATTTTTATTATTATTTTGTGTATCATTGTTTGCAGCGCAAACATTCTATGCATTTTGAAACTGAGCACTAAATAGACTAGCTTCTGGTAGAATCTTTTGTGGGTGGTGTAATTTCACAGTTTAACTGCCTGTTTTCACCGAAAACACAAACGTTCTTGTCACGTTCTTGTATTTAGATTTAAAAGAGGGGGAAAAAATGAAAAAAAAAAAAAAGATAAGAAAGACGATTGTAAATATTTTCTTTAATGCACAAAACAACAACAACAACAACAAGGTTACAAACTGCAACCACGTGTGGATCCTAAAATGTCTCACTGAATAATCTACCTGTCCATGTATGTTTGCTGAGCTTTCTCCTTGGTTGTGTCTTTACTCTATTTAATTTCTATCAGAAATATTTCTGTACGCCAAAATACAACAGGGAGATGTGTCCCAGCATACTTACAAATAAAACAAACGTAAAAACAGAATAGTTATTATTATCATTATTGGGTGCATTTAAAAAAAAGAAAACTATTTCCACGGCTAGTAAATTCAAGGTATGGCCGTTAGACGATAAGATTAATTCTACCAAAAAGAAAATAGTGAGAGATGTATTTTTCTGCTAAATCCAGAAATCATTACTTTGAGATAGCTCTTATGTGAAAATCGGTGCTCTGAATAAAATTAACTATATATTAGCTGCGTGTGTTTCTTGAAGTTTATTCTATAACTGCAGAATATAAATCAAAGTAAAATTTTAAGAAGGACTTCTGAAGTATTTCTTTTCAGTGTGCTGGAAAGGATTATGCACCTACAAAATATGTATAAAGAAGAAAAGCTTGGGTGGTTTCAGGTTTATATGTTGTTCTGACTGGCCTAATTGCACTTAATTATGTAACAAGATACTTTATTTTTATTTTGGGTTAATAAATATGAAAATCCTAAACTGATCTCTCCTTATGTTGTGAATGCAATTGTTCATTAGGAACGTATAGGATGCCACCTACTGCTTCAAGTGATCAAAGAACCTCTTTCTATTTTCTGATGACCTGTGACTAGATCAGATGCCAAATGTAAAAAGTTACTTAATAGCTGGGATTATTTCTTCTGTAGACATGTTTTAGCCAAATCTTTTTAATTTTGCCGGTAAATCTGTGAACCAAGACACGTGATGTTCAGAAAAGAATAATACATTAAAAGAAGCTGTGATTTTAAACAACTGTTGATGTTAAAAAATAAGCACTAAAGGTATTTTTAAAAAACCCCATAGATCTCGTCCACCAGAAATTGACTTGTTTCTGTTGTTATTAACTTGAAATGTCATCAGAATTTTTAATAAATGCATTTGTAAAAATATTATTTTATAGAAAAATATTACCGGATATCATTTTTTGGAGAGTCAGGAATGAACAAATAAAAATAATTACAAATGTTGGGTTTTCTTTTTCATCTGCCCCAAATGATTGAAATGTTGAAAGTGATACCACATTTGTATCATTCAGTAATGACTCATGTATGCATTGAAAAGCTGAGGAGTTTGTTTTGTAATAAGTAAAATCCTTATCGAGTACAAAGAAAAAAAAACCCAGTATGTTAATAAAACATATGGTGAAAATAAAAGCTTTGCAGAGTTTCCTATTTTTCATGGTAGGAAACTGTGCAAAACCAAAACGTCCCGCTTTCTGTCAGATGAATATGAATAGTTCATAAAACCACAAAATTCTCGAGAGGCCTTTTTAATAGATGCCTAGAAAGAAAGAAAGAAAAAGAAAGAAAGGAAGGAAAGAAAAACAAGAAAGAAAGAAAGAAAGAAAGAGTTAGTTAGTTAGTTAGTTTATAAGATTTAACCTAAGGACTATTAAAAGTTTTGCATTCGAGGAAAAAAGTAAGATAAAAGACGAAGAGGCAGAACGCGTGTTCGCATTTATTCCCCAACAGTACGCAGCTTCTCGCATAGAGAAGAGCCACTTGTGACCGAAAAGCTACAGAAATCCCCCACTCCTCATGTGCCAGGGGCCGAGGCCGCTGCCGGGCGGTGGCTCTGACGACTCCTGCTCTCCAGCCTGTGCCCCTTGCCGATGAACATTTCGCTGCTGTCACCCCTCGAATGGCCTTTTTCTCCACAACCGCGGTATCTCGCCGCTTTCCTAGTGTGATTTTTCCAGTCCTAAGTCTCCTAGACGCGGTTTGGCTCCCGGAATTTCTGCCTAGCACTTGCTCTCCGCTTGCTTTCAACTTAGATTAGGCCATCATAAGTGAGTAACAGACACCCACTGCCACGGTCGTATTGATTTTTACTCTCCTGTGATATTAAGACTAATTCGGTCCTGGTTCAACAAGTAAAAAGGCTTCCCAGAAGGAGAATGAAGTGTCCTACAGCACTGACTTTATGGTTTATGTGCCTCCCTCCCCGCCTCCCTGTGTTACCCCTTTCCTCCGAAGAGAAATAGATTTGTCGAAAGATAATTATTTTAACTCTGACGGACTCGAGCGCATAAAGCTTGATAGCGCCAGTGGTGCCCTGTGTTATTCTGGCATTTCCCAAACGATTTTAAATCCCTCCAGTTATTTATATCTCGCTTTTCACGATTTTAAATCCCTCCAGTTATTTATATCTCGCTTTTCAGCCGGCGCTATTTTTTTTTTAAGTTTTATTATATTTACCTGCTGATTCCAAAGCGGAGGCAAGCCTAATTGATTTTTAAAAGATCAGCAGCAGAATTCTAATCCGCTTGGGAACCTGCTTCCACCTGCCAGACGAGGGTCTGATTATCGGTAATTATGTTATTTAAGAGTTGATAAAATAGCGGGCCCCGGCGCTGCCCGGGCCCCTTCCCCAGCCGGGCGCGGAGGGGACCGCGCGGGGAGAGCCGCGGCGCGGCGGGGCCGCCGCCATCACGTGCGCCGCTGCAAACACAATTACGGGGCCGCCGTTAATAATTCATGGGCTGAGATTTAGAAAATTAATAAAATGAATTATAACAAGAGGCTAATTAAAAACTTTAGTAATTGTTGTCAAGACAGCTTGATGGGAGGCGTGCTGCACGACGCTTCCCCCCCCACCCCCCCTTCCTTCCCCCTTCCGCTTTTGGAAAGCTTTTTATTTTTCCCTCCTTTGCAACCCCTTCGCACCTGAAGGAGGCTGGGTTCGGGAGAAAAGCAATGGATGGACATATAGGTCATCTGAATATATAGATCCCAGAGATGAGACCCAGGTGGTAAAACTGCAAGCAAGTCTCTTCTCATCGTAGCAAGATAGATAGGCAAACGGCGGGTGGGTGGGTGCGAGGATGGATGAATGAAACCCAGAGCTCAAAAGTTAATTTAAAATAAGATGTCACATATAAATCTTTGAAGAAGCAGTCGCAGCAGAAAGAGCGCCTGCACCGGCGGGCCCCAGCCCCGCCGGCGGGCGGACGGGCAGCGGCTGCGGGCAGGCAGTGCCGGGCAGGGCAGCAGCGCCCGCGGGCACCGGCGCGCACTTTCCGCCTTCTCTTCCGCACCAGCGGTGGCAGCGGCAGGCGGTGCGGGGCCCCCACCGCGCCTCCTGCTCCGCGGGGGGCGGAGGCGCCGCGGGATGCTCGCCCTCCCCCGCCGAGTCCCTTTCCGCCTGCTGGCTTAAGATGCAACTTCGGGGCGGGCTCAGCGCGGTGTTCCCGCGGGCAGAGGGGGCCAGGGAGCCCGGTCCCTGCGCGGGTGCGGGTTTATGGCCGTGTCGGCAGCGCAGCCCTGCTCGGGAGCTCGCCGCGGCTGGTCGTCCAGGGACAGCTGCACATGCAAAATCTGCTTCCCAAATTGGAGTCACAGCCCCTCTGGGAAAGCAGACGTCCTCCTTTGAACTGCTTTTTAACTCCTTCAGCCTGCTTACCTAAGTGTACCAAAGCATCTCTAACTCTGGGGGGAAAGTGGTTAAACACTTCTTTTTGTTTGAATATAAAATTAAAATTTATCAGGCAGTCGGGGGGGATAGGGAAAATTACTTTTTAAAAATGATGTCTTAAGACGTTAATCGCTCTAAACGCTGTACTTTAGTATTTAAAAGGTTTTATATAAAAATTAATAATTTTTTAAATAGACACTCGGCCCTGCTACGTTGAAGAAAAATTGTAACTTCTCACTGATTTCCACAAGCGAGCCATAAAAGACTCCAAGTGCCTCGTTGGGTGAAAATGCCGACCGACCCTGCCGCTCGCAGGGGCTGTAGCACGGGGCGGGTCCCGGTGCGGGCACAAACCGCCCGAGCCCGGCTCCAGCGGTGGGAGCGGACAGACGGCTCGTACTGCAAACACCGGCGTGCGGACAGGGCTTTTCATCCCTTGCCCGGGTGGAAGAAGGAAATTTAAAATTGTGAGGCAGAGCTAAAAGATAGAAGATGTGTGTATGCTTTTGGTCTGATTTTTTCTGTTGTTGTTGTTGTTGTTTTTGCTTTTTTATTTTATTTTAAAAAGGATGTTCATTGATAAGAAAGCGTGTCAACATTGACGCATCTTTTTACGGGCCGTGCGGAAAGGAGACGAGACGCCGATATACACACACAACTTAGCCCTTGATTATGGTCATTATATAAACCGAATTACTAACAAAAGTTTGGTAACTAATTTTAGCTCACTAAATCTCTGCCTCTCTTCACTTCAGCATAATATATACAAACTTTTGTACACGCGGATCAGAATAAAACAAAGTGTTGACAGCATCCAGCAGTGGAAATTCACTTACACAAGACTTTTTTTTTCACTGAAGTGTTGACAATAAACATTTAATGAAGGCAGAGACTTGGATGTCTCCAGACAGTGTCAGAATACTTTAAACAGACCATTAGCATGGCTTCTTCTACTTCAAACAGAGCACACTATACCATAACATTATAAAAATACAAAGTATGAAACAAATAATCTGTTTATACAGATATTTTAAGCTGTTTTCACCAGTTCTGACATCCCCTGTATTTAGTAACAGAAACTTACTCATTTCAGATTACTCGCGCTTAAAAAATGTTAAATACAGTTAATGCAATATTAATCGCCCTTTGGTGATATAAAATGCAATATTTTCAGGCAGCTATTGAGCTTTTCTAGAGGAAGAGCTGATGAAAACAGTCACAGCTGAATAGTGGAGAGAAAAAAGCTCTGTATTTATTGCTTTTGTTTGGCTTTTGGCTACAAAGACAGGAACATTCTAATGGGGTAAGGACATTTATTTTATCTGCAATCTATTGCTGCTAGAGCAGGAGTGGCAGATGGGGTTTGGTGTTATATTCACAGAGTAATTTAGAGCAAATCCTAATAACTAATAATAATGATTTATGTTAATTTCAATCACTTATGTGACTTTATTAAAGCACTGCTGTAAGAGGAATAGAACGGGAGAGGGGGAGAGGAGATACTGGAGAGAGACAAGCTGTGTCTGTCTGAAACCGAACTGCATGCTTGAAAGGTTGTTGTGGTGGGCTTCAGCGAAATTTCTGACGCGAGCAAGCAGGTTTTGCGTTTGAGACTCTCTATCGCCGGCGCTAATTTCTTATAAGAAAAGCCCCGTGTAGAAATCCCGGCCACCGACGAGAGGCAAAGCAGAATAGAGAGGGAGCAAGACAGGAAGAGAGCGTGCGAGGGAGACTCGTGTTATGCAAAATGTATTGATTGTATGTGAGGAATCTGCGATGCTGATGTTCTAGGCTCCCGAAAGAATAGAGAAGGCTACTGGCAAAATAGCTAAAAAAACCCCAAATGTACACACAGGATACGAAACTTTTATGCCGTGCTGTTTCAGCGTGGTGGAGATCTACAGCTCTCTACTCACGTTGCATCGGTTTTACTCCTCACCGAAAATCTCTAGGAGGCTTTACCCCACGGGATTTTGTATTCTTATTAGGGAAAAAGAAAATAATCATAATAAGAAAGCAGCTACGGCAATGACCCTTTCATATTTCCCCCCATGATCTTCAGTTTCATTAGCAACTGCTAATACTGAAGTTGCACACACATAAACACAGAGGCACACGTCGCCGTGTGTGCGTTGAAAGAAGATATATTGGTGAAAGCCAGGAAATCTCAAAACAGTTAGCGCTGCTCTGCATAGGGTCGGTTTGATGTAAGAGAGAGAGGAGTACTTACAGGCTTTTGAGAGGGGGGGTGCTCTTCGCTTCTGGCAATTTACTTTCCCAGGTACCTTTATGTGCTTTTCTGCCTTAAGGCATACAGTCTGGAAGTAAAACAACATCAAAGCTCCTTATTAACACTATTTTACTGATATCAGAAGATGAAGCTACCTGAAATGTTTAATCTGGTCTTAGCATTTATTTCCCAACAAAGCAGCCAGAACAAAGTTAAAAAGAGTCGGGCAGCTATCTACAAGGCAAAGTGCAGGGATGATGTATGTTTCTGTCAGAACCCTTGAAATGTGTTAAATAAACCTCAGGTTTTGCTGCATTCTAAGGCACTTTTTCTCTAATATAATTCCTCCTTCCAAACACCACGGCTGGGAATAACCTCTCTCCCACACCGCCAGGTGCATTAGGTGCGAGTTCCCTAACTTTTGGATCATTGGCAGGAAAGTGTTTTCTGCACTGCAAGCTGGCACTGCATTGTATATGCGACCGGATTCCACAGAAGGCAATTTTTGTGTACTCTGT